TCTACAGGATGGTGAGCTTTAGTATCCTCTAACTCAACTCTCCTCTTTAACGATAGATCTTGTGCGTGTTGCTCCTTTCTTTCTATCTCTCGTCTTCACAAACAACCCGAGTGACTTTAGCTTTCTGGAGGCACTTCCCGGTGTCTCAAGCCTCACCTTTGACTCAGAGATGCGGCAAAATAGTGGGAGTCCATGGCGATGTTGAGGCCTTGCATCCTTCACTCAGAACAGATGCCATCTTATAAGATCTTATAAGATCTTATAAGATCCTATAAGGCCATTAAATGGCCGCCAGGCGGTGGAGTTCCTTTGTGAATCTGATCATGTACGAATAACCAGATGTCTATGTAACTAGATGGTCTATATAACTAGATGGTCTATGTAACTACATGGGCTATGTAACTAGATGGGCTATGTAGCTACGTGGCCTATTTAGCTAGGTGATTTCTGTAATTAGGTGGTTTATGTCTCAAGGTGGACTCTGTAACTAGGTGGTCTGTATAATTAGGTGCTTTATGTAACTAGGTGGTCTAACTAAATAGTCTATGAAACTAGATGAATTTTATTTGGGAATAACAGAACTTTGCAACTGTTACTGACGATGTGTATTGTATTTATATACCGGTGACAGCAGAGCACATAACAATATGTGTCATACACATGGTGCAACACAATTATGAAGCTTAACTTTGAATCAAAGGTGTCCCAATATTGTGACCGTGGGTGTTGCAGGCTCCTGTTGCGGGGCGTCTGAGTGGCGGTGCCTGCAACACACTCAAGGTAAGGCCTACACGTGCAGCTGTTTGACAACTGCTTTACACAGTCCTCCTTGCACCTGCTGGAAGCAGCTCTTGGCAGAGTGACTAATGCAAGACCTCACCAGTGCTGCTGCAGCTGCTGGAGCTGGCCCGAGACTGGTGACTGGAGCAGCTTTAGGCCTGGTGATAGCCTTACTCACGGCCTACCTGATAGGTCGGGCACTTTACACACGGTTCCAGGCCTGCCCTTGCTAGTCACGTCAACATAACTTCGTTCAGCTTTGCCAAAAGCCTTTTCAGAGCTTTATCTACCAGTGGCGGTGTATGTTGCGACGTACAAAGGATGAGGAGCCTCTCCAAGCAGGCCAGGACGTCTTCCGTCTGGTGCTTGGCGCCAAGGACACCCTCAGTAGTGTAGCATGGTGGACAACACTCAGCTGCTAGACGGTTACCGCCACTATGAGAGAGTACTGGAAGGTCCGCTTGGGTTCGTTGCCGCAAGAACACTTCAGGGTTTCAGCCTCTCACCTGACAACCAAGGCAGCAGGGAGAAGACTCGAACGTCATGTCTTGGTGAAGGCATTCTTTGCTTCCCTCTGTTTGCAGTCTTCAGACATCAACAGTGTGCCTCTGCTTGCAGTCTTCAGACATCAACAGTGTGCCTCTGTTTGCAGTCTTCAGACATCAACAGTGTACCTCTGTTTGCAGTCTTCAGACATCAACAGTGTACCTCTGTTTGCAGTCTTCAGACATCAACAGTGTACCTCTGTTTGTAGTCTTCAGACATCAACAGTGTACCTCTGTTTGCAGTCTTCAGACATCAACAGTGTACCTCTGTTTGCAGTCTTCAGACATCAACAGTGTGCCTCTGCTTGCAGTCTTCAGACATCAACAGTGTGCCTCTGCTTGCAGTCTTCAGACATCAACAGTGTGCCTCTGCTTGCAGTCTTCAGACATCAACAGTGTGCCTCTGCTTGCAGTCTTCAGACATCAACAGTGTGCCTCTGCTTGCAGTCTTCAGACATCAACAGTGTGCCTCTGTTTGCAGTCTTCAGACATCAACAGTGTGCCTCTGCTTGCAGTCTTCAGACATCAACAGTGTGCCTCTGCTTGCAGTCTTCAGACATCAACAGTGTGCCTCTGTTTGCAGTCTTCAGACATCAACAGTGTGCCTCTGCTTGCAGTCTTCAGACATCAACAGTGTGCCTCTGCTTGCAGTCTTCAGACATCAACAGTGTGCTTGCTTCCTTTAACCCAAATGTCTCCGGTGTAAAGTCTTGAGCTGCTCCTTGCCAATATTTACCTTCGGGAATGTCTGTACCGTGGCAGGCGTGGAGTGTTGCTCTTCGTGTCAGTCACCATGACGAGTGAGCCCATCCTGGCCACCTCTGCACCACTAATCATTCCACACACAAAGGCCCTTTGGTTATCACTGAAGCTTTAGCCTAAAAGAAATTATTCTGCTCAAATCATGTGTTCTGTGCTTCACCGTGTGTTCATGTGCCTGTGTATTACCCTGGAAACACAAACCGAAACTGTCTCTATTTTCCGCTTGTTACAACTTGTAATAAAGTTGTTACATCTTGGCTTAACGTGTTTATGTCGTATTAGAACGTTGTTACAACTTGCTATATTGGTTGTTATAACTGGTTAGGAGGTGTTAAAACTTGTTCGAACGTTGTAGCAACGTCGTAGTTTCGGTGTGTGTTTGGCGGGTTAGCCCTCACGGTGCATATTGGTAGGTCTGCCTTCTGGACACCTAGGTACAGCCGCTACGGTCACAGACTAAAAGAAAACTTAAATTATTCCAGTCCAGCTCAGAGATACGCGTCAAGCGTACCCCTGAGCTTGAGCTAGATTGGACTGACGCGTACCAACGTATTGGTACGCGTCAAACGTACCAATACGTTGGTTTGACGTACCTCTTCTCCCCCTCCTCCTCCTCCCTCTCCCCCTCCCCCTCCTCCTCCTTCCCTCTCCAAGTTGAGCCCTCCATTATTAGCAAGGTTAATGAGAAGAGATCAGTTCCAAAGGTCAGACATAATCCAGATAAAGCTCCAGCAAAAACCACCTGTGACACAGACGGGTTGTGACACACCACCTGTAACAGACCACAACTGTGTGACACAGACCAGCTGTGACAGAGACCAGCTGTGGCATCCACCAGTTGTGGTATAGACCAGTTGTAGACAGTCGCTGTGGTACAAATCGGCTGAGGCAGAGATCTCATGGAATATAGAACACTCGAGAGAAACTACTCGTGGAGTGGATTAGTTGTGGAACAAATAGACTGTGATACACACCGCTCTTAACAAGGTCTACCTCAGTCATGGACCATCTGTGGCGTGGACCACCTGTGTCGCGGACCACCTGTGCCGTGGACCACCTGTGCCGTGGACCACCTGTGGCAGAGAGCCAAGAAAATATCATATTTCCGATGCCTCAGAAGCCAAGTGATCTTACCCATGGCGTTCATGACTTTGAAACACTATACAAGAAAAAGGTTTGCAATATTATATAGTATATCGTGCCCTCCTCTCTCTCTCTCTCTCTCTCTCCTCTCTCTCTCTCTCTCTCTCTCTCTCTCTCTCTCTCTCTCTCTCTCTCTCTCTCTCTTTCTTTTCTCTCTCTAGGATTCATAAGGGATGCCTAATAACATACCTAGTGAAACTGCAAGCAAGAGCTGTTATCCTACCTCAGCTCATCTGAAGCCTACACCTAGAAACTCATTATTACATAAGAGTATACTTTGAAACTAACACATAGGGAACTATCATTTATTTATCTTATGTAAGCTAAGTTGAAACCTACTCCTAGATGCCCATTTATATCATGAGCCTGGTATTATTTGCTTTAGAAGGAATAGCCTTTATTCATTAAAAAACATTAAGTAACAATCATATAAGGAAAAGGATGAGCTTGTAGCCAGCTGTGTGCCAGAGTCTTCATGTGAACAGTTGACCTGATCTCCCGTGTATCAATCTGTTGACGCGAACAAGTTCCAGATGCGAGTAAGTCTCGGAAGGAATGAACGCTGATGGAGTGATGTTCTTGAGAATGGCACTTCCAGCATGAGAGTGTTGAAGGTTGAGAGCCTAGTGTTACGAGTGGGAACTACTGGTACTCCACGGAGTTGGGCCAAGTGCTCCCTCTCCTCTCTCTCTCTCTCTCTCTCTCTCTCTCTCTCTCTCTCTCTCTCTCTCTCTCTCTCTCTCTCTCTCTCTCTCTCACACACACATCCCCCACAGTCGTCTCTCTCTCTCTCTCCCCCACAGATCAGCCAGTGTGTGTGGGCGCCCCACAGACTGTAGCGGTGGCTGAGGGAGAGAATACCCGCCTGACGTGTCGGGTCGACGCTCAGCCCAGCGACGCCCTCAGCTTCACCTGGTTCTTCAACAACACTCTGGACACCATCCAGGTGGAGAAGGACCGCGTGACTGTCCTGGGAGGCCTCAGCATGCTCGATTATACGCCCAGGTATGACCTCTCTATACATACCAGGTATACCATATACTCCAGGTACGCCACATACTCCAGGTATACCACACACCATGTATAACACACACACACCAGGTACAACACACAACGATATACCACCTAGTTCGAGTATAGTGCCTAAAAGTATACTAGCTGATATTAAGGCAATACATCTAGCATACTGCAAGATATACTGCCACACCCAGACATGTCAATATTACACACACACACGAGCACGGCTTATGATTCATGGACCACCGGGTTAATACAGCCAGGGGGCATACAGTCAAATCCCAAACCCAGAGAGAAAGGTCCGACAATAACAGAGGCAAGTGCCATAACAGAGGCAGGTGCCATAACAGAGGCAGGTGCCATAACAGAGGCAAGTGCCATAACAGAGGCAGGTGCCATAACAGAGGCAGGTGCCATAAGAGAGGCAGGTGCCATAACAGAGGCAGGTGCCATAACAGAGGCAGGTGCCATAAGAGAGGCAGGTGTCATAACAGAGGCAGGTGCCATAAGAGAGGCAGGACCACTAACATCACCTCGTCCTGCAGGTCGCCGCGGGACTACGGGACACTCTCCTGTTGGGCGACTAACACCGTTGGTACTCAGGCCGACCCTTGTCGCTTTACCGTCATTGAGGCAGGTAGGTGAGGCAGGAGGAGGCTGGTAGGTGGGTCTGAGGGAGGCTGGTAGGTGGGCGTGGGGGAGGCTGGTAGATGGGCGTAAGGGAGGCTGGTAGATGGGCGTAAGGGAGGCTGGTAGATGGGCGTACGGGAGGCTGGTAGATGGGCGTAAGGTAGATGAGGCAGGTGAGGCTCGCATGTAGGGAGAATACGCATGCGGGAGGTGGAAGATGTCTATGTATACAAGAAATAGTGATAAAAATACACAATACGGGAGCGGTGAATGGCGCCGCGCCTCAGCACTCACACCCACCATAACCAGTTCCACATGTGCGGTGTCTCCAGGGCCCCCCGAGCGTGTGGGGAACTGCGTGCTGGTCAACCTAACGATCAACAGCCTGGAGGTGGGGTGCACCCCGGGTAACGACGGAGGGCTGCAGCAGCGGTTCGTGGCCCGGGTGTACGCCGCCCCCACACACACCCTCCTCGCCACCCTGCAGGAGGACCACTCCCCCAGGTTCCAGGTCGGGGGACTCACCCCGGGTCAAGACTATCTTATCGCTATCACGGCCGTCAACGCCAAGGGCGCCAGCCAGCCCCAGCAGATCAACGCTGTCCGCCTGAAGGTCAGTCTCTCTACCTTCAAGGTCTATCTCAAGTCTTAATTTCCCCTCTCTTATTTCAAGGTCAACCTCTGGCCTTAAGGTCAACCTCTGGCCTTAAGGTTAACCTCTGGTCTTAAGGTTAACCTCTGACCTTAAGGTTAACCTCTGGCCTTAAGGTCAACCTCTGACCTTAAGGTCAACCTCTGACCTTAAGGTCAACCTCTGACCTTAAGGTCAACCTCTGACCTTAAGGTCAACCTCTGACCTTAAGGTCAACCTCTGATCAAGGTCAACCTCTGGCCTTAAGGTTAACCTCTGACCTTAAGGGCAACCTCTGACCTTAAGGTCAACCTCTGACCTTAAGGTCAACCTCTGATCAAGGTCAACCTCTGGCCTTAAGGTTAACCTCTGACCTTAAGGTCAACCTCTGACCTTAAGGTCAACCTCTGACCAAGGTCAACATGGTATTTAGGCACATGTTCTACTTAGTTCCACCCTCCTGGCGAACTATATCAATTCCTAATAAGTCACATTTTTTACGGAGTGGGAAGCCGAGAGAACTAGGTTCGTATCCCCTGGAACCAAATACGGGCCTGGGTTCGTATCCTGGCAGGGGAGGATTGATTAGGCGCCAATCCTTAACTGTACGCTTCTGTTCGCCCAGCAGTAATTGGGTACCAGGTTGTTAAGCGGTAGGTGGTTGGTGTTGTAGGGAAACTAGTCGGTAAAGACGCATCAGGGGAAAGAGAAGGGAACACTTGGAAGGGTTTAGGATAAGGATTTGGGATGGGACGGAGGTATGGAATGGTGCCCAACCACTTGTAGACGGTCGGGGGATTGAACGCCGACCTGCATGAAGCCAGACCGTCGCTCTACCGTCCTGCCCAAGTGATTGGACGTCATGGGAAGGGAAAGCTTCCTGTCCTATAGTAAGGGAAAGGGAAGGAAAGTCTGTTCCTGGACCCACCTGCGCAGATAACAAAGCACGGGCTGGTGTACCACAGCACTAATGCGAGGCATTTATAACCACTTAAATATTACAAATGGCTTCCTAAATATTTCCCTGATGTTAATATTTGGTGCGGTGGGTGGTGCAGGTGGCGGAGAAGCGGATGGGCGAGGTGGCCACCCCGCCCGTGTCGCCCCTCGTGGGCGTCTTCCTTGGCCTCGTGGGCGGCTTCGTCCTCCTCCTCCTGGCCGGGGTCCTCCTCTCCCGCGCCAGGTCCAACAGGTAGGTGCCAGGTCCAGTTGGTAGGTGCTCAGGGCCGACCAGATAAGTGCCAAGTCCATTTGCTAGGTGGTCAAGTCCAACAGGTAGGTGCCAGGCCTCATAGCCCCTCCCAAGGAGTTCATAAGTCCCCAAGTTCATGCCTACGTATGTAAACACACACACACACACACACACACACACACACACACACACACACACACACACACACACACACACACACACACACACACACACACACACACACACACACACACACACACACACACACACAAACACACACACACACACACACACACACACACACACACACACACACACACACACACACACACACACACACACACACACACATACACACACACACACACACACACACACACACACACACACACACACACACACACACACACACAAACACACACACACACACACACACACACACACACACACACACACACACACACACACACACACACACACACACACACACACACACACACACACATTGAAGCGACCCATTAAAGGGAAAATACAAAATATAAAGAAAAAAGTTAATAATCAAACGATTTAGATTCAGACCAACAAAATTCTACATTTAATATAGGCACAGTTTTTTGAGTATTGCTGAAATTAGTCATAAAATAACTAAATAGTTGGATTTCAATTATTTCATTAAAAAAAACTCTTGAGGGAATTCTTCCCAAAAGTAGTTTTTAAAAATATATAAATATGGAAGGTATAGAGAGCACACTACTTAATGGCATGAAAGACTTTTTGTCTAAAAGTCAACTCAAAACAACGACACGACAAAGTTGTCAGCATGGGAATAAGTTGTCAACATGGGGGGTAAAGTTTTCAGCATGGGGCAACTTGTCAGCTTAGGGTAAGCTATCAGCATGGGGATAAAGTTGTCAGCATGGGGAGCAACTGACCATCATGTAACAAGTTGTCAGCCTCTGGGGAGGGAGGGGTTAAAATGTCAACACAGAGATCAATGATCATTAACAGACGGAATTAACTAATAGAGTCCCACAAAGCTCAGTACTAATCTGTGTTCACGACATGTGTCCACGGTACGCCATAGGCGGTACTATACACAGTTCCACAAACATGCTTACTTACAGAGCCAAAAGTTGTAGCAGCATATGAACTCACCAGAATGGCTGCAAGGTCCTTCAGTGGCGTTCATTGGCGGAGTGCATGGAACCATAGAGGTGATGCAATTTGATATTGACAAATTGCACGCTATGGAAATGTTGGAATACTTGTAACTGGTCCTATGAGAACTATATACAATGTTAATTTAGATTTTTTTTAAAGATTCATCCTTCCATTGTAAATTTTGACACTATATATATGTGAATAATGAATATATTTACGTGTGTGTGTGTGACTCTCTCACTCACTCACTCACTCTCTCTCTCTCTCTCTCTCTCTCTCTCTCTCTCTCTCTCTCTCTCTCTCTCTCTCTCTCTCTCTCTCTCTCACGGTGCCACTCTTCCAGGTGCAGGTGCTTGGGTGAGAGGGGAGGTGAGAGAGACGTGGTGACCTCGGGCAGCTCACCCACCACCACCACCACGCCCTCCTCCGCCCACGCTCTCACTTTTCACAGCGAGAAGGAGAGAGCAGCGCCCGACGTCCTCAGAACTATCAATGGTAATACTTGTCCTTGATATATGCTCTCACTACTGCTGGTCTTACCACTAACACCACCACCACCACTGCCCACACCACCACTGACACCACCACCACTAACACCGCCACCACTGACACCACCACCACTGACACCACCACCACTGCCCACACCACCACTGCCAACACCACCACTAACACCACCACTAAATAATGGTGTTATGAGTGAACACGTACACACGACATGGGTATATATCTCTTTTTCAGAGAAGCGAGAGCTTCATCTGGTTTCCTTTGACGTGGGACATAATAAGTCACTTAAATTAATATTATTGTCATATTAACGGACTCTATAAAAAGATTATATGTATTTGTAAAAAAAAACTAGCTTTAGGGGGCCGAGCGGTTACTACGCTTAGTTTAACGCGTGCCATTGTAGGCCTAGAGGCTTCATGCAGGTCGGCGTTCAATCCCCGACCGTCCAAGTGGTTGGGCACCATTCCTTTCCCCCCATCCCATCCCAAATCCTTATCCTGATCCATTCCAAGTGCTATATAGTCGTAATGGCTTGGCGCTTTCCCCCTGATAGTTCCCTTCCCTTCCCTGCCAATTGATGTGTTTACACATATATACGCTCTGGGGTCCTAGTCGGAAGGGCCCGGATTCGATTCCCGGCCGAGGCAGGAACAAATGGGCAGAGTTTCTTTCACCCCTGATGCCCCTGCTCACCTAGCAGTAAATAGGTACCTGGGAGTTAGACAGCTTCTACGGGCTGCTTCCTGGTGGGGATGTGCTTGTGTGTGTACATGTGTTAGAAAGATATATATGTAGCAGACATAATAGAGTAAAAATAAATTGGTTAGAAAGGCGGGGTCCAAGAGCTAATATCTCGATTCTGAAGATACAAATAGTAAATATAGACACACACACACACACACACACACACACACACACACACACACACACACACACACACCACAGGGCCTCGTAGCCTGGTGGATAGCGCGCAGGACTCGTAATTCTGTGGCGCGGGTTCGATTCCCGCACGAGGCAGAAACAAATGGGCAAAGTTTCTTTCACCCTGAATGCCCCTGTTACCTAGCAGTAAATAGGTACCTGGGAGTTAGTCAGCTGTCACGGGCTGCTTCCTAGGGTGTGTGTGTGTGTGTGTGTGGTGTGAAAAACAAAAAAAAAAGTAGTTAGTGTAGTTAGTAAACAGTTGATTGACAGTTGAGAGGCGGGCCGAAAGAGCAAAGCTCAACCCCCGCAAACACAACTAGGTGAATACACACACATACTCTGGTTATCTCCGCCACCATTAATAATTTAACGACAAAAAATTATTAGTTGTCTAATATATCTCCCTGAACCCTTGAGCTGTTCCTTGTGTCCTTGTTGTTCTGACCAGACACCTGCCTGTATGAGGCTAATGGGAGGGGTTAATGGGGAGGTTAATGTAGAGGTTAATGGGGAGGTTAATGTAGAGGTTAATGGGGAGGTTAATGTAGAGGTTAATGTAGAGGTTAATGGAGAGGTTAATGTAGAGGTTAATGTAGAGGTTAATGGAGAGGTTAATGGGGAGGTTAATGGGGAGGTTAATGTAGAGGTTAATGGGGAGGTTAATGTAGAGGTTAATGGGGAGGTTAATGTAGAGGTTAATGGGGAGGTTAATGTAGAGGTTAATGAGGAGGTTAATGTAGAGGTTAATGTAGAGGTTAATGGGGAGGTTAATGTAGAGGTTAATGTAGAGGTTAATGGAGAGGTTAATGTAGAGGTTAATGGGGAGGTTAATGTAGAGGTTAATGGGGAGGTTAATGTAGAGGTTAATGGGGAGGTTAATGTAGAGGTTAATGAGGAGGTTAATGTAGAGGTTAATATAGAGGTTAATGGGGAGGTTAATGTAGAGGTTAATGTAGAGGTTAATGGAGAGGTTAATGTAGAGGTTAATGGGGAGGTTAATGTAGAGGTTAATGGGGAGGTTAATGTAGAGGTTAATGGGGAGGTTAATGGGGAGGTTAATGTAGAGGTTAATGGGGAGGTTAATGGGGAGGTTAATGTAGAGGTTAATGGGGAGGTTAATGTAGAGGTTAATGGGGAGGTTAATGTAGAGGTTAATGGGGAGGTTAATGTAGAGGTTAATGGGGAGGTTAATGTAGAGGTTAATGGGGAGGTTAATGTAGAGGTCAATGGGGTAGTTAATGTGGAAGATAATGGGGTGGTTTAAGGGGAGGTTAAAAGGGTAGTTAATGTTGAGGTTAATGGGTTGGTTAGAGACGTTATGCACTATAATCCTAATTACCCTCATTATCATAAAAATAATAATAATAGTAAAATAATAATATTTATAATATTAAAAAATATAAAAATAGTAAATATTACTAATAATAATAATTACTTTTATTATCATTGCTATTATATTTAAATACATTTAAAATATTTTAACTTGTAAACTTTTCCAGTTGTGCTGTAATTATTGTTCTAATAAAGTGTGTTTTATTTTGTTGATATTATATCCTTCACCTCTAGCTCCTACCTCTTGGTTACTTCCCTCTCTGTTCTCCCCTCTCTGTTCTCCCCTCTCTGTTCTCCCCTCTCTGTTCTTCTCTCTCTGTTCTCCCCTCTCTGTTCTCCCCTCTCTGTTCTCTCCTCTCTGTTCTCCCCTCTCTGTTCTTCTCTCTCTGTTCTCCCCTCTCTGTTCTCCCCTCTCTGTTCTTCCCTCTCTGTTCTTCCCTTCTCTGTTCTCCCCTCTCTGTTCTTCCCTCTCTGTTCTTCCCTTCTCTGTTCTCCCCTCTCTGTTCTTCCCTCTCTGTTCTCCCCTCTCTGTTCTCCCCTCTCTGTTCTCCCCTCTCTGTTCTCCACCCTTTGTTACTTCTCTCTCTCTCTCTTCCAGCTCCCACCTCCATCTTCTGTAATCAATTCTCCATCTCCAGTTCTCCATGTTCTAATTACCTCTCCATCTCAACCACCTCCCACCCTTAATTTTCCGTGTCATAACGCTGTCTTTCTCAGAAACAGCTGAACTCCTTGACACGCGGATATGCCCAGAGATCATCCCACCGCGTGTTCCTCCGCCGCCTTACTCGCGCACGCAGGTAGGCCTACCTGCAAATATACATTTTTCTCTGCGGATAAGCATGTCCTAAGCACGTGTTGTTGTCACGTTAGAGGCAGACCACGAAGCGCCCCATTTCCAAAGCCTCTCCGAAAGCCTGCACCTATCAACGGTATAGGTTAAGTAATAATTGTAATTAATTTAAGAAGCAATAAGATGCTTATCTTAACATACTAAGAAGGTTAGGTGAGGTCGGTGTTTTCTATGAAGCTTTTCAAGGTAAACTAAAATATTCACAATCAATTAGTATGTCACATATGCAGTTATTAAATAAGCCAATATGGACTATAAGCAAGTGCGAGAACGGGTTGGCATCTTAATACCTTACCTAGTTCCCGACACGCAAAACGCTACAAAGAAATATCTATGTTTCCCCTTGAACAAGCTCGGTTTTCTCTGATAATTTAGCGACTGGGGAGGAAATCATCCGACCGCGAGGCCAGATAATTCTATGTCATTACTGTCACTTAGTGGAGGGAACTTTTCGCCGTATTACATTTTCTCGGCTGCCGTATGGGCAGAGCTGCGCCCACAAGTCGTCAATCGCCGCATTTCGCCGAAAGGAAAAACATAAATGGTTAATATAGTGGTGATCCATCATGTGTCAGGAGGAATATTTAGTGAGCGCGGTATCATCCCCTCCGCCAACCAGCCACCCGAGTGGTGGGAAGGTCTCGCCCCTGACAGCCAGCGATGGTAAAAAGGTCATTTTGGATTTTTTTTCTGCGCCACAGTCAGGATCAATGATTGACTGGGACGAGCTTGTCTGCATGGCTCTTGACGCTGGGAATAAAAGACAAATTCAGTAGAGATGTGTAGATGTTGGGTGAGATTATATATAAATATATAATTTCCGTCGTATTTCACCGGACAAGTTTCACCACACAATTGGCGACTTTTGTTTCACAGTTGGAATATCATCAAGGTACCATAATTATAAGCAGAATTATCTAGTCGTGATCATATCGATGCTTAGCAAGTAGTCACTGGTTCTGTCATACTTTCATTAATGGCGTTCCTTTCTGTGTTACAGACGCAGCAGCAGCAGCAGCAGCAGCAGCAGGGGTTGCTGAGGGGAACGCTGCAGGTGACGCCACTGGCCGCCGCCGCCGCCAGTGGGACAGGACGTGCCCTCTATCGTGACACACCCAGTCCGCTCCACCTTCTTCATGAAGAGAGCTTCGTGTAGGGTGGTGGTCGCCCCTCCAGGCACGCCCACTACCCCGTCTACGTGCAGGGTGGGTGGTGGCCGCTCCTCCAGGCACGCCCACTACCCCGTCTACGTGCAGGGTGGGTGGTGGCCGCCCCTCCAGGAACGCCCACTACCCCGTCTACGTGCAGGGTGGGTGGTGGCCGCTCCTCCAGGCACGCCCACTACCCCGTCTACGTGCAGGGTGGGTGGTGGCCGCTCCTCCAGGCACGCCCACTACCCCGTCTACGTGCAGGGTGGGTGGTGGCCGCTCCTCCAGGCACGCCCACTACCCCGTCTACGTGCAGGGTGGGTGGTGGCCGCTCCTCCAGGCACGCCCACTACCCCGTCTACGTGCAGGGTGGGTGGTGGCCGCTCCTCCAGGCACGCCCACTACCCCGTCTACGTGCAGGGTGGGTGGTGGCCGCTCCTCCAGGCACGCCCACTACCCCGTCTACGTGCAGGGTGGGTGGTGGCCGCCCCTCCAGGCACGCCCACTACCCCGTCTACGTGCAGGGTGGGTGGTGGCCGCCCCTCCAGGCACGCCCACTACCCCGTCTACGTGCAGGGTGGGTGGTGGCCGCCCCTCCAGGAACGCCCACTACCCCGTCTACGTGCAGGGTGGGTGGGTGGTGCGGAGGCTTCGGCAGCCAGCACGCCCACTCTTACACAACAAATGCCTGACTTAGAAGCGCGCAACATGGAGCCCACGCGACTTGTGTTGACCTGTTGTTCAAGAGACACGAGATGACCTGAGTGGCGCTGGTGTGTGAATACTGCTGGTCTGGGAGGCTGGTCTGAGTGTCCCAAAAGGGCATGTACCACCTGGCACCGCTGGCCCACGCACCACCTGGGACCATTGGCCCACTCACCACCTGGCACCGATGGCCCACGCACCACCTGAGACCGCTGGCCCACGCACCACCTAAGACCGCTGGCCCACGCACCACCTGGCACCGCTGGCCCACGCACCACCTGGGACCACTGGCCCACGCACCACCTGGCACAGCTGGCCCACGCACCACCTGAGACCACTGACCCACGCACCACCTGGGACCACTGGCCCACGCACCACCTGGGACCACTGACCCACGCACCACCTGGGTCCACTGGCCCACGCACCACTTGAGACCACTGACCCACGCACCACCTGAGACCACTGACCCACGCACCACCTGGGACCACTGACCCACGCACCACCTGGGTCCACTGGCCCACGCACCACCTGGGACCACTGGCCCACGCACCACCTGGGACCACTGACCCACGCACCACCTGGGACCACTGGGACCACTGGCCCACGCACCACCTGGGACCACTGACCCACGCACCACCTGGGACCACTGGCCCACGCACCACCTGGCACCGCTGGCCCACGCACCACCTGGCACCGCTGACCCACGCACCACCTGGGACCACTGACCCACGCACCACCTGGCACCGCTGACCCACGCACCACCTGGCACCGCTGGCCCACGCACCACCTGGCACCGCTGGCCCACGCACCACCTGGGACCACTGACCCACGCACCACCTGGCACCGCTGACCCACGCACCACCTGGGACCACTGACCCACGCACCACCTGGCACCGCTGACCCACGCACCACCTGGCACCGCTGGCCCACGCACCACCTGGCACCGCTGGCCCACGCACCACCTGGCACCGCTGGCCCACGCACCACCTGGCACCGCTGGCCCACGCACCACCTGGCACCGCTGGCCCACGCACCACCTGGCACCACTGACCCACGCACCACCTGGGACCACTGACCCACGCACCACCTGGCACCACTGACCCACGCACCACCTGGGACCACTGACCCACGCACCACCTGGCACCGCTGGCCCACGCACCACCTGGCACCGCTGGCCCACGCACCACCTGGCACCGCTGGCCCACGCACCACCTGGCACCGCTGGCCCACGCACCACCTGGCACCACTGACCCACGCACCACCTGGGACCACTGACCCACGCACCACCTGGCACCACTGACCCACGCACCACCTGGGACCACTGGCCCACGCACCACCTGGCACCGCTGGCCCACGCACCACCTGGCACCGCTGGCCCACGCACCACCTGGCACCACTGACCCACGCACCACCTGGGACCACTGACCCACGCACCACCTGGCACCACTGACCCACGCACCACCTGGGACCACTGGCCCACGCACCACCTGGCACCGCTGGCCCACGCACCACCTGGCACCGCTGGCCCACGCACCACCTGGCACCGCTGGCCCACGCATCCACTCAACTATACCGGCAGTCTAACGCAATTGAATTTTCTATAAGAGAACCGGAGCCGACTGCATTACTTTCAAATTACCAAATCATTTTGGGCTTTTGTTAATTTGGATCTGTGATGTTACTTTGGTCCTCTCACTTTATGCTCTGTTCATGTTATTTTTGAACAAGTTACGTCATTCTTTGTTCACTATTTTGTTCTGGCCATAATATTCGAGTCTTCACTTTTACAATTTTCATTCGCCGAGGCAAGGCTTGAGCTCCTGGTCTCCGAATTGAATCCCACAATTATGATACTATATATATATTTATAAATGTACTTTTTTATTTTAATACCTGTGCAAATATTGACAGACCTGGTCATGCTGGGTCAATAGAGGGTCATTATTATTGGCTCAGCATTATGGTTACCATGGTAACCGCCCATTCGAGTTTGAATGAATTCTCTCATTCGAATTGAGTAACTGTTGTGTGTGTATTTACATGTGCTTTGAATATATATTTATTTACGTATGTGGCGACAAGGGAAAGTTGACTGTCAAAGAGACAGCAAGAGGGGGGGGGGGGAGGTGTTCAGTTCGCGAACTTAGACGACAGCATTTCTAGTGTTTATATATTTAATGGTGAGGATGGGGGGTTGTGTGGGAAGTTTAGTGACTGTTGGAACGTAGTGACCTATGTGGTGACCTACACAGTGACCACACCCATTGTGGCCACACCCGTGGTGACCTACACGGAGACCACACCCGTGGTGACCTACACAGAGACCACACCCGTGGTGACCTACACAGAGACCACATCCATCATTAAGGTCTATACAATGTGCGAGTGTTCACCCCTCGTCGCCAAGGACGCAGGGAAGTTGATGTTGATGATGATTTAAGGTCGACGACGATCGTGGGGTGAGATGCGCCCCGGCGTACCCATGAGGGGTTAATCGCGAAGCCAAGTGGCAGATGACTGGTGAGCCCCGGGAGTCTCTCAGGGGGACAAGCGCCGGCCCCGGCCCACAAAGAGAACACAGGCTAGCAAAACTAAATACTCAGCCCTCCAACTAAGAGATGCAATCGGACGCAAAAGTCATCCGGTGCCCTCCGGCAAAGCAGAAGCCAGCCGCCCACCACCCTAATGGCACACCAGGAGCCCACCAAGACCCGCCAACAATCCTGTGATCCAAGCCGACATGTGCGTCTGGCGTTGTACAAACCGGACCGTTGAATAGGGACTGCAAACGGCAGTATCAAACCCAAAATCGCAAAACAGAACGCAATCCGGCGGCCACCCGGCGGAGGAGCTGTCCAGACGTCCGCTCGTCGTCAAGGCTGAACCAGGAGTCGGACGGAGGGAAGGGGGTCACTATACGGGTTTGTTGTGGTTCCCCCCCCCCCCCCCCGAGTGTGTTTACCTGAGCAGCTTCTCGCGGCCGCCGCCAGAGTGCTCCCTTAGTCGCCCACTCACCACGTGGTTTTATTTACATGTCATTCAGGATGTTTATGTGTGAAGCACAAGAGTAAACAACAACACTTATCAATGTTACATTCCACGGCCACTCACAAGCTCTACGTCTAAGGAAAGGCAAAAAAATAAATAACACTTCAATAAACAAATAGATATTTACGTTAGGTGTATACTTTTGTATGTCAAATATGTTATTAAGTTTAAAATTTGGGTGTTTGAAGATGTATTAATTTGAAACACGAAGTGGTTTAAGCAGTGAACTCAATCAAGCGACTTCACTGTTAATTAGCTTGATCGACGATTGATCGACTTCACTAGGGTGAAGGTGGGTAGGGGTAACGTTACTAGGGTGAAGGTGGGTAGGGGTGACGTTACTAGGGTGAAGATGGGTAGTGGTAACGTTACTAGGGTGAAGGTGGGTAGGGGGGTAACGTTACTAGGGTGAAGGTGGGTAGGGGTAACGTTACTAGGGTGAAGGTGGGTAGGGGTAACGTTACTAGGGTGAAGGTGGGTAGGGGTAATGTTACTAGGGTGAAGATGGGTAGGGGTAACGTTACTAGGGTGAAGGTGGGTAGGGGTAACGTTACTAGGATGAAGGTGGGTAGGGGTAATGTTACTAGGGTGAAGATGGGTAGGGGTAACGTTACTAGGGTGAAGATGGGTAGGGGTAACGTTACTAGGGTGAAGGTGGGTAGGGGTAATGTTACTAGGGTGAAGATGGGTAGGGGTAACGTTACTAGGGTGAAGATGGGTAGTGGTAACGTTACTAGGGTGAAGATGGGTAGGGGTAACGTTACTAGGGTGAAGGTGGGTAGGGGTAACGTTACTAGGGTGAAGATGGGTAGGGGTAACGTTACTAGGGTGAAGGTGAGTAGTGGTAACGTTACTAGGGTGAAGGTGGGTAGGGGTAACGTTACTAGGGTGAAGGCGGGTAGGGGTAATGTTACTAGGGTGAAGATGGGTAGGGGTAACGTTACTAGGGTGAAGGTGGGTAGGGGTAACGTTACTAGGGTGAAGATGGGTAGTGGTAACGTTACTAGGGTGAAGATGGGTAGGGGTAACGTTACTAGGGTGAAGGTGGGTAGGGGTAACGTTACTAGGGTGAAGGTGGGTAGGGGTAATGTTACTAGGGTGAAGGTGGGTAGGGGTAACGTTACTAGGGTGAAGGCGGGTAGGGGTAACGTTACTAGGGTGAAGATGGGTGGGGGGTAACGTTACTAGGGTGAAGGTGGGTAGGGGTAACGTTACTAGGGTGAAGATGGGTAGTGGTAACGTTACTAGGGTGAAGATGGGTAGGGGTAACGTTACTAGGGTGAAGGTGGGTAGGGGTAACGTTACTAGGGTGAAGGTGGGTAGGGGTAACGTTACTAGGGTGAAGGTGGGTAGGGGTAACGTTACTAGGGTGAAGGTGGGTAGGGGTAACGACCGTTATTGTAGTGAGGGTGCAGAGGCTTACCAGCAGACTAGTCCCAGAACCGACAGTTTTGGGCTACAAGGAAAGACTCAAGGAATTAAACCTGTAATTGGACAGATATGGACAGATTTTTATGATAAGCCACAGACACATTACAAAGATTTTTTCGGTGTTATAATATTAAAGAAATGGAATGCACTAAGAAGAGTTACAGGCAGAGACAATACTCAGTTTCAAATGTAAATATGACAGAACTAAATAGGCTCTAGATTAAAGGTTGAGAGGCGGGACCAAAGAGCTAAAGCTCAACCCCCGCAAGTATAATTATGTGGGAAAAAAATACACAATACATGGGAATGTTTGCACCAGGTGTCTCAACACTTCTCTAAGACCCAAAAACAGTCTAAGAGTTAATTCTTCTTCTTTAAATACAAAACTATTTTTGTAAATTATGTATAATTTCTTTATATGGTTGACAATTTATATGTATAATTTCTTTAAAAAGTTGAGAGTTGCAAATTACCGACTTTAGGAAATCTTTATGTATAATTATTTTGATAATACAATAGGAGAATACACTAAAAAGATGCTCTAAGCAACAGTCTCCATATTGTATTAGGCTTACCTCGCGCTCTGCACTTCCACAGGGACACCGGATATTCAACCAATAATTTCATCAATAACACATAAGTTTCTTTGGTTTTTTATGTTGTGTAATTGTTCCTCCTAAGTCCTCAGGTGAGCCCCTAGACAACACTTACGGTGCCATACTGAACTGTGGCAATTTATTTCAACTGAATATCAGCTCCAGCAACCCCGTGTAGAACTGGATGTTTATATATGTCGATTTTTGTAAATTCCTATAATGTGATTCAGACTGGAATTGCCATGATATATGTATATTTTGTTTAATAAAATAGTATCCAATTGTCTTGGGTCTTATTGTCTCTGGATAAATATGCCATTTATAAAGTTTCTATATAATATTTCGCAATTTAATAACAACTGAATTCAATTTCAAAATTAAAGGTGAAAATTAATTAAGGAAAGTGGTGGAAAAGCAGAGATAAGCAGACAGAATCTTTAAGTAAAAGGGAAGATGATTAATGAATATAACTCGAACGATAAGAACTGCAAGATTGAAAAGATATCGGTAAAGCAACGGGTGAAGTGAGATGAAAGGGTGTAGCAGAATTCGTCCACAAGTGCTGATGGTATCTTAAACAAAACCTATGAAATATTTGAGAAAACCAGAAAATTGTGGGAACCATCATTCAACCCACCAGCAAATAACAGGAGTCCAGGGCAGGAATAAAAGAACATCGAGACAATTATAAGCAGAATTCAATGTGATGCATATGTAAATATAGGAATAAAGGCAAACATCCTAGTTATTCCGGGCGACTTCAACTATCCAAAAATTTAATTTGGACATTAAAACAACCCATGGAAGTGAAGGGGACGAGGAGAGATAAACAAAAAAAAAAGTGTTTCCAAAAAAAAGGCGAAAAAGAGTTGTGACAACATTAGGACAATAACAACAAAATTAATACAAGATTACCTTTGGCGCGGAAAGTAAATAAAGAAGAAAATATCATGGAAGGAAGGCATTGTAACCTAAGATAAAGTGCCAGAGGTAACACCAGGTGCTTATAACATGGTCGCAATTCTAGAGGCAATTACTAAAATACTAAAAACTATATAATTAAGCTGCCCGTCTTTAATAATACCGCCTCAGGTGGATGGTTGTAGAAGAGGGAGCGTAAGTATAGAGGCGCGTTAGTGTGGACCTGGGGAGGGGGGTACACATGCGTACCGAGGTACTCACTAGAGGCATTAATGACACCTGGGATCCACAACCCTGTGAGAGCTACACTAGGTGGATTAAAAATTCCTGGGTCTATTTCCTTAGGAACTCTACATATGTCCCCGGATGATATTTGTACCCCCGAAGCCCTCAGGTCAGGGCTTCGGGGGTACAAATATGTACAAATACAGGGATCAAATACCCCCGATATTTGCTAGTACCACGAAGTACTAACCTATTTTCCTCTCTCTTTCTCAATCTCCCTCTCGCTCTCACTTTCCCTATCCCTCTATCTATCTCTCTTTTCTCTCTCAAATATACAAGGACAATTTGTAAGAAAATTACTCCTAGAGACAATTAGATTTGTTTACAATTAGTCCCGTGTCGAGGATAATTTGGGCTTACTTTGTGAGGCCTTACTGTGGGGAAGGGGTACCCTCATGCAGTGGGGGAGGGAATGTGCTCACACACTGCTGAAAGAGGAAGGGGATGTGCCCACATAAAGGATATAATTCCAACACGTACACTGGAGGCACACATAAACAGGATAACATCGGCAGCATATGAAATGCTGCAAACATAAAAACATCTTTAAAGAACCTAAATCAGGACTCCTTTAAGGCATTCTAATCAACATTTGTTAAACCAAAATGTGAATATGCAGCACCGGCATGGAATCGCACCTTGTAAAGCATAAAGCCAAAATTGATAAAGTAGAAAGGTTTGCAGCAAGATTGGTACCAACGTTAAGAGAGTTAGGCTACGAAGATAGACTGAATGAACAAAATCTCACATCCCTAGACAATTGAAGGAACAGAGGGGATATGATCACAATATACAAGATACAGAGGGCAACTGATGAGGTGAACAAGGATAGCCTCTTCAGATTTCAAAAAAGCTGGACAAGGAAGGACAAAGTTGGAAGTAGGAAACGCAAATGAGCCGTAAGGAAGTACTCGCACTATGCTACTCAACAAATGTAATACTCTAAAAGAAGTTGTGGAAGCCACCTCCATTCACAATGTTAAAGCCAGATTCGACCAAGAATTCGAAAGTCAGAAGAGTTCAACTGAAATGCAACAGGTACAAGCCTAGTAGTGCAGGCGGGAGCGTAATAAACTAAACATCAGTTCCCCGTAGACTGTAACAACACAGTTCAGTGAGCTTCAAAGACCAGTATTAACCTGCAAGGCAACAGACAGGGCAACAGACAATGCAACAGACAAGGCAACAGACAATGCAACAGACAAGGGCTCTACTTACCTGCACTTCAGACACTCGCCCCACACCACGTCAGTCAGACCTGAAGCCTCGTCACTTCTATACACACAAACACGCGCCACATGGCCTGCAAATCATTAATTATATTCTCTAAAAGAATCAAAATGTCAAGAGTTGTATATTTAAAGACACAGTCAAAATAATAACATTAATATATCTATCCAGACATTCAATGAGAAAAATATGTGATTAAAAGAATCCATTGTCTATGGTGAAAGGTATTCAGAGTTAAGTATTCAGTTATCAGTGTTCACCGTAGAGAGTTATATGTAACTAAGTGTTTTTTTATTAATAAATAGGGTACATCTGCATTTGTGCAGCTACCCTAGGCTATATGAAGTGAAGTACAATGTGTCAAAAAAACTAACTAGGTGATGAAACTAAGTGCTCAAGGAAATTAAAAATCTCAAATATTTTCATTATTTTGAATAATCACGAAATACTAAGAGTAACCAGATCACATTATCCTAATGTCACGTTCGTCACTAAGGTTAGTGTATGAACCTTTAAGCGTGAAATTGACTCAGAAATGTAATCAATAGTCATCAACAATTAAAAATAATCAGTAATGATAATAGGCAATATTAATCACTAAGGAATAGCCTATGACCGGCTAGCGGTGTTAATTCATAATTAACCATAAAAAGAATTAACCGGAGAAAAAAAAACAAATTTAATATGTTATGTTCCCTAAAAAGATCATACATTATACCATAACATCTAAGTAGACATTATCTTGGCACTTAAGACCTCAATGTTAACAATATAAGTACGCAAGAGACCCAAAAATCTATAGATAGCTGACCTAATTTACTGTGCGTAAGCAGTACATCTTCCCCGCCTGGTGGTCGACGGTGTACTGGCCCGTTGTGTCAGTCAGGGTTGCCAGATCTAAGTTGCGGAAAGTAGCGAGCTGAGGGACTAAAAGTAGCGGACTTGTAATAAAAGTAGCCCAATCTTTTTTAGTGAATGATATGGGTTTCAAAGTAATATATTTTGATATACTTGTAACTCACTTGTAACACTTATATGATGTGCTTCCTATTTTAACCTGCTATGTTAAATGGGATTCTTGTATTGTGATTTGTGTATTTGTACTCACTGAATTTGTGCGCCCCTTGAGGGACTTGATGTAGAGGGGGGTAGAAATAGCCTAAGCTACTCTATCCCTTTGAGATGTGTTTTTTTATTGTCTCAATAAACATACTTGAACTTGAAGTGGACTTTAATGTTTTTTTCGGCAGCTTTATTTCCTTAGTTTCCGAGCTGTTTTCTTTACCGTGTATGTTGTAATAAACTATTCCTATATTTACAGTTGTTTCTCCCTGTGAAGATATTAATTAAACAATGGTGATTATAAGGGCGCGGAAGTTCAGCCTGGTCAGGGCCGCCAGCAGCCCTTGGGCCCGCCCCGGCAGCACCCAGTCTTTAATTTGGCACCTTTGTGGCACCTTTGTGAGACCTTGGTATAAGCCTAACATGTATATATACACTGGCTGCCTGTCCCCCTACACAATGATTTATTACTACCTATTATTTTATCATTTAATTTAAATATTAAATAAAATAATTAATTTAATTACTATAGTATACTTAATAATTTAATAATATGTAGTAAGTACAGTACATAAAAATGATTAAAAAGTACAGTTTAGTCATAGGAGATTCCTAGATTGGAATTCACTACCAAATTTCAATATATCCAAGTATTTTGAGTGTGAAATGCTGTTATTATATGCATAAATTGTTGTTTTAATAATATTACGCTTAACCACTTGGGCTGGACGGTAGAGCGACGGTCTCGTTTCCTACAGGTCCGCGTTCAATCCCCGACCGCCCAAGAGGTTGGGCACCATTCCTTTCCCCCGTTCCATCCCAAATCCGTATCCTGATCCCTTCCGAGTGCTATATAGTCGTAATGGCTTGGCGCTTTCACTTGATAGTTCCCCACCCCCCTGAATAATATTACGAGAGCAGTATTTACGGGCTATTCATGCCCGTGCCACCTCTTGGGTGGCTTAATCTTCATCAATCGAGAGCAGTACGTCCTAACCAGACGTTATATGATGATATCCTGAACAGTTGATAAATAAAAGTAATTGCGGAACTCCAGTTATCTAATACTTATCATAAATGGTATAAAACCTTGTCATAAGCCAAGGGATTTGTAGATCAGTGTTTAAATTAAAGGGAATTCGGAAGTAATAATAACACAGCTAATGCCATCTGTCGGCAGAAGAGAACACTATCAACTGGCTGGTCAACAGTGGCCATAAGATACAGCTTACGCCATCTGTTGACATCAAATTACACTTATAACAAATTACCCTACAAAATACTACTAGCGCCATCTCTTTTTTTTCCAACGCACTATAAATAGCCAAACAGCAACCCATAAGGCGGGTTGTTGTGCTCGGGTAGGAGGTTCCAAGCTCCGCCCACAGATGGTATAGGGATTCTTTGTTGACATTCACACAACAGCCAATCACAGGAAGGGATCAGCTAAAGGCTCCATCCACTTAATAAATCATCTTTATTCAGCTCACCATCCTTGCTTATGACATTCTGCTTCAACTTTAATCTACCTAAAAAGTGAAATGTTAATTATTTAAAAGTATTAATATAGTGATAATTAAAAATACTACAGGATGTAACGAGTGTTACAGAAACATGGGCTGGCTACCTAACTTGTGACGTCATCAGTGGGTGTTGCCTCACACAAATAATATCGGCGATACAATGCCTCCGCCCTCTTATTGGTCTACATTATTCAGTTAGATGGAAATTACTGTCTTGTATAAAACAGAAATTGTTGTTCTTTTGTACAACAACACCAAAGTTATTGATTAAAAGGACGTATTTCTTATTTTGCATTTTATTCATATAAGCGTTGGCAGTCCCAGCAACAGCCAATCACAGGAAAGTATTTGTTGGACGCTCTGCCTTCAACAACGTTGATTCCTAATGAACTCTAACAATAAATTCGTTTAATAAACGAGTATTTAGGGTCAAGCTACAGATGAACATTACAGGATAACGGTGTTTTAGCTTGCAGCTTCGTTAGACAGAATCCCTGGTCTTAATTTTAAAAATAAAGAACTAGAAAGCGTATTTCATTGCTAACTTTTCGAGAAATAAATCCCAGTCTCATATTTGCGAACATTTATGCATTGATTTTTTTGGTTTAAGTTCTTATCATAATCCCTTTCGCAATCTCAACACCATCTGGCTCGTATCTTGTAACTATCTTCGTTACTTAGCCTCAAAACCTTACATTTGTCTTACATATCCTCAACAGTAGATAAAAAAAGTAATTGCAGAATTCTAGTTACCTAATACCAACATGGTATAAAACCTTATTATAAGCTCCCAGACGTATAGATCAGTATTTAAAGTAATAATAATACATTATTATTAATGTAATAATATTGTTAAAATAATAATAATACAGCTGATGCCATCTGTCGGCAGAAGAGAACACTATCAACTTTTTTTTTTTCTTCTTTTTAGCAGGGATAATCCTGCGCGGGCCCTAAGCCTCTGGCTGGCCCACTAAGTGATGCTTGTGTCTGTTTTACTTGGGCGGAGGATGAGTATTTATGACTCGTATGGTCGCTTCAGTAAGATTTTGCCATATGTGTTTAACAACTTCCTCTGCTCTGTTGAATCGAAGTTGAAATGTTAATGGGTTTGTAACTGTGTACTGTGTTAGATAATGTTCCAGTGGTCTGTCTGGCATTTCTCCACAGTGTTGACATTTCCTCTCATCTTCCGGAACCTGTAAGCCTATTTCCCATGCACACGGGTACCCAAACCTGATGCGATGTAAGTGTTCTTCTGTTGTTCTACTGCCCCCTTTCATCAAACTAAGTGGTTCGTAGTTGGTGGAATTCTTGTACCAACCCGCAGATCCTGATGTTGCAACTGCTGTGGTTTGGTCACTGTACAGCCTTCGCATTGCTCTGTTTCGAATTACTTTCTTCATCTGGGATAGACTCTGTGGTATGTAAATGTCTACATTTCCCCTCTTAGTAGCAAGTTTTGCAGCTTCGTCTGCAATGTCATTTCCTATTAGTCCCACATGACTTGGCACCCAGTTGATAAGTACCCGTCGGCCTTGTCGTTTGAGTGTGTGCATGAATGATAAGACATTTGTGATCAGATGGATGTTATCACATATGTGTTCTTGTTGCAAGGTTTCAATGGCGGTTCTCGAATCTGTATGGATGATAACATGTTGTCGGTGTTCAGCAAGAGCATGTTCCAAAGCCTTTTGAATGGCTAGCATCTCTGTTTGTAAAGTCGAACACCCATTTGAGAGCCTCCAACTATATACAGAGTTTCCTGCTTTAACTGCAGCTCCGGTTTCTTGTCCCTGCTGGTCTCTGACCCATCCGTGAAGTAAGTGAAGCTGTCGGATGCCATGTTTGCTTCTATATGCATCTGTGCAAAGTTACGTAGCAGATGAGGATGTGTCTGGATATCTTAAAGTCTGCTGGCTTCAACGCCATAAGATACAGCTTACGCCATCTGTTGACATCAAATTACACTTATAACAAATTACCCCACAAAATACAACTAGCGCCATCTCTTTTTTTTCCAACGCACTATAAATAGCCAAACAGCAACCCATAAGGCGGGTCGTTGTGCTCGGGTAGGAGGTTCCAAGCTCCGCCCACAGATGGTATGGGGTGCATAATAAATGGCATATCATTGGTAGAAACTCTTTGTTGACATTCACACAACAGCCAATCACAGGAAGGAATCAGCTAAAGGCTCCATCCACTTAATAAATCATCTTTATTCAGCTCACCATCCTTGCTTATGACATTCTGCTTCAACTTTAATTTACCCAAAAAAGTGAAGTGTTAATTGTTTAAAGTGTTAATAAAGTGATAATTAAATATTGCAGGATATAACAGATGTTATATAAAAATGGGCTGCATGGCTACCTACCTTGTGACGTTATTATTGGCGGTTGCCAATAATAATAACTCACTAATAATGATACACTGCTCTGCCCTCTTATTCGAGTAAATTATTCAGTTAGATGGAGATTTCTGTCAGGTGCAAAACAGAAATTGTTGTTCTTTTTCACAACAACCTTGTTGTTGTGCACAAGGACCTATTTCTTAGTTTAAATTTTATTCATAAAAGAGTATTGGTATTCCCCGCAACAGCCAATCACAGGAAGGTATTTCTGAAAGCTCGACCTCCTTATGGACTCAGCACATCGATCTAGCTCATGGCTCTCTGTTTCATCTCTTGTATATACAAACTATGACTTTTTTCGATTACTGTCATAATTAATAATATGAGATATAAATTTTTTACACAAAATGGCTAAATTCTACCATTGGACTTTGTCTGGTATACTTACAAACATACACCAATTTATTACCATTCATCCATTTTTAATTTCAAATGTAATGTATACTGTCTAGTTTTTTTTCCTCTCGCCATTACTTGGTGCAATATTTGAAAATTGTCTATTTATTTATCGATCTATCTATTATCTTGTATTTATATTTACAAGTTTATGTGCTTGGAAGAAAACTCTGCATTGAATTGGGACTAATTTATTAAATAATATTATTTAGTATTAATTAATATTTACAATTATTATTAATTACAATTATTTATAGCTTAGTTACTTTCATGTAACTCGTAATCGTACATTCTTAACATTAATAGCCCAAATTAGCACATCTTGCTTTTAAATTAGCCCAAAAAGTAGCAAGTAGCGAAATTAAAAATTTGGGAGCGCGGGGCTCTCAAAAGTAGCCCAATTCGCTATTTGTAGCCCAATCTGTACAGTGGCTACGTTCTCGACTCACAACTGAGTATTCTGGGTTCGAGCCACGGGTGGAATATAAATTATTGGATACGTTTCCTTTCACCTGATGCATCTATTCACCTAACAGTAAACAGGTACTTGGAAGTTAGGCATCTGTTGATTGTTCCGGATATCAATGTCCCCCGCGGTCCGGTCTTTGGCCTGACACCCTTAGTATTGTGCCCTAATATCTCGGTATGTGTATATACTGCGAATTTCACTTCAGAATTATGTTTAAGAATAACATATTCTTACTAGTTGATCCGTAAAGCTATTGTAGCGGCCTTAATAACCCTCCAGAGGGTAATAGGCTGTAAGCCCAAGCCTGCAGCAACAAATTTTGGCAAAATATCCAATACTCCGGCAACCAAAAAAAAGATACTACTGTTTTGAAGCGGGTTAGACCGCGCTCCGGTCTGGGGAGCCGCAAAGCTTCAGGCTATCGATCTGATTAACTTAACTGTGATTTAGGCCAGAGTTTGGGTTCGATAATGAAGACTGAGTCTGACGCATACATTAAAGAACTCTCCTCCGAGGGCGCTTAAGGAAATAGAGATCGATGCCTGTGAAGATCAAATTGCAAAGTGAAAATGTTTTGTGTTCGAATTAAAAACATTTTCTATTAAAAATACTTTTACAGTTTGTTACTGAGGAAGCCTTTCCCCAATCATTTTGGTGAGAATTTCCAGACAAATGAATAGCTTTCTCACCAATTGATTGGGAGAGGTCTTCAATAACAAATCTGGATCCATTTTTAATGGATCAATTAAAAAACGATCCCAGCGTGTTGATTAATAGACAACCCTTCCATTATGGATATGGCTCACGGGTATTGATTGGTCAGTAGGCTATCTGCAGGTTCCTCTTGTAGTTTCCTAGTCTTCAAACTTCTTTCCTAGAACAAAGACATTGGCTTTCACCTGACACGTCACCTTCCGTTTTTCCTGCTTATATATTTAAGAATTGTGTTGCATTAATTGTACTTATGAAGATGTAACAAATAACACGAAAGCACTCAAGTCATTTCTTGTTAGATTTCCCTTCGTGGTCATACATTTTCACATTATTGATCACGTGTTAGTTTCTTTGTGATTTACACACACACACACACATTAAAAAACGATCCAATATATATTTATCAATTTATAAAATATACATATATATATATAATATATATATATATATATATATATATATATATATATATATATATATATATATATATATATATATATATATATATATATATATATATATATATATATATATATATATATATATATATATATATATATCACTCTCCATCTCGTTTAATGCATTTTAATGAAAAACTACCTTTGGTGCAGCTTATCCCTAAGCTGTACACTCGATGACTTGATCCTCTGGGGACCTTGAGATGGCTATGCAATCCCAGCAAGAAGCTCCCCAAGACATTGCAAATGCCTTTATATGATCAAGGTGTTAGCAGAAGGGCTTAGAACAACTGGTAAAGATTGACACACACCTATTTGTCTACCTGGTGAGGGAAGTAGTCTGATCTAGGGGTGAGACACGCAGTGAAAGAAAGAATGTCAGGTATTCAATGTTTGAATGCAGGTATTTACGTTTGAATATGTAAAATATTTTTAGGCTAACCGTGTCATATCGTTCCATTAACAAATTAAAACTTGTATCAAGAATGGGCAAAACTCGTTGAATTTCGATAAATAGTTTGATAGCAGGTGTTTAAAGGGGAGAGGGTTGAGGGCGGGTGTTTAAGAGTAAGTGTTTGACAAGTGTTTGAGGCGGACGTGGGCGGGGCTTAGCGGCCATTGCGATACCACGTGATAAGGTAAGTTTGGTGGCTCCATTTACCTTAATTTTATTTATATATTATTTATAATTATTCTTGCTGTTGTTATTTTCGGGAGAAGCATCAGTATTATTAGTAATATTAGTGCTAGTACTTCCAGTGATGAAATTATTGTTATTATCATTATTATTTTGGTGTAGTTCATTTATTATACATCCTATACCCATTCTTACGTGGTAGTGGGCTGTATACCCATCCTGTGGGTGGTAGTGGGCACCATACCCATCCTGTGGGTGGTAGTGGGTACCATACCCATCCTGTGTGTGGTAGTGGACCCCATACCCATCCTGTGGATCTTAGTGGGCTCCATACCCATCCTGTGGATGGTAGTGGGCACCATACCCATCCTATGAGTGGTAGTGGGCCCCAAACCCATCCTGTGGGTGGTAGTGGACACCATACCCATTCATACTCACTTAAGCTCTGCATTTCAGCTTAATGAATTGTACTTAATTATGGAAACAAACAAATAAAAAACGAGGATGAGCTAACTGCAGGAAGCAAACTTGGATATTTGACAATGATTTCTTGCAGCGTATTATTTTAAATGAAGTACTTGCACATTTCTTTAACATTTGTGATATAATAATCTTTAAATTATGCTATTTTTTCATATTTAATTACATAGTGACGCAGAGAATGTGAATAGTTTTGCTCCTATGGCGTGAGAGCCATAGGAGATAGACTCAGATTCCCTCATTGATTATTTTATTATAACTGTGCCTTGGTTCACACAAGAACGTTATTTATGTCTATGAGTTGAGTGTTATCATGATGACAGTCATAACTAAGGTGATTACTCTTTATGCAGATGATGAGTCACAATAACGTGGCTAAAAAATGTTGACCAAACCACTGAGAAACTGAAGAGACGACGACGTTTCGGTCAGTCCTGGACCATTGTCAAGTCGATTATCAAGTCGAAACGTCGTCGTCTCTTCAATTTCTAGTGTGTAGTTTAGTCAACATTACTCTTTATAAATGTAACTTACGCGTACTAACAACTATGGCTGCAGAGCCACGACAGAAAGTATGAGTTTATATATAATGCAAAGTATAAATATTTAAAGTTGTCATGTAGAGGCTACCTCTGGAGACAGCAGCACGCTCCGCTAAGGAAGCTCGCTGCATCTAGTCTTACCTCGCTCCCAGGGGTTCTGAGTCTTCTCTCTACTTCTGCGTTTCCTCCTGTGAGTGCCACGAGTTCCCCCTTCCTTCGGTCCCGCAGGAATGGAGGACTCTTGTGATAAAATCGTTAAGTACGTGAGAGTTAGGTTGGCGTGCCGAGGGGTGTGTTTACATGATGGCTCGCACGCTAGCTCGTTTTCTCCACGTGTCCACACTGTGTAAAGATTTAAATTGTGGTTAATTAATAATACTAAGCGAATATTTATGTTTCTTTTCATTTCTCTACCCTTAAACATGTCATTACATTACCACTGGAGTTATGGTTCTCTGGACTTGAAGGATCAGAGTACAAAAGAACCCGCTTACGGGTGAGATATCGTAAGAGATCATTATAATTGTATTCACCATGATGGGAAGGCAACAACGAAAGTCAGGTTTAGACATTGGCAAACATTAGAACATCGTTTAGAAACCTAAATTGGTACTCTTTTTTTCTGGGTAATCTATGCAACATTTGTTAGACCAATACTGGAATATGCAACACCGGCCTGGAATCCGCATCTTGTGAACCATAAGACTAAACTGAAAAATATAGTGCCAGAAGAGTAACAAGTTATTCTCATATGTTAAGGGAACTAGGCCTCTCATCCATGGAAGAAAGAAGAAATAGGGGAAGACATGATTGCAACATACAAGATATTGAGGGGAATTTATAAGGTAAAAAAGGACAGACTTAGAGTGAGAGAAAGTAGAAAGAGAGGATATAAGTAGGATCTAGAAAATCAAATGAGTCAAAGAAATATATGGAAATACTCGTACCCTGTACGAGTAGTCAACAAGTGGAATGCACTGAAAAGTTGTGGAAGCTTTATCCGCAGTTTTAAGGCCAAATTCCACAAGGAATTCAAAGGTCAGAATAGTTAGATTATGATGCAACAGGTACAACAAGGCCAGTAGGCGGGGCACGAAGAGCTAGAGCTCTGCCCCGTAGTCACTGATAGGTAAGTACACCTCTCGCTCTGCTTTCTCCCTTACATTCTCGCTTGCTCATTCCATTTTAATCTCCCTTCTCTCCCTTTCTTCTCTTCTCTCTGTAGGTTCTCTCAACCTCTTACCTATCTCCCTTCACTCCTCCCTCCCTTACACCTTCTTCCCCCTTTACCTTCCCGCTTTCTCTACTCTCTCTTCCTTCCCCTTTTCTTTTCCCCTCTTATCACATTCTCCCCTTCCATATCCTTATTTCATCCTTCTTTCCTCTTTCCCTTCTCTCTCACGGCCCCCTCTCCCTTCTCTCTTAACAACTGTCAAATAACATTCCCTATTAATCATTCACTATTATCACAAAAATGGCCCCTACGCCTTAATAATGTTGTGATAAATAAGAATGTAACAGGAGATAATAAGGTGTAATGAAGGCTACTGTGACATGATAAGGCGCGCACGAGTGAGGAACTGCCTCGTTCAGGCCCACGTTCACCGTCACCAACACTAAGGAGAGCAGATTCCGCTGTCGCGCCCCCTTGGCTAATTTGGGATAATGGCAGCCAGGAATTGAAAACCAGAGTGGGGGTGAAGGGTATACGGTGGGGGGAGGAGGGAGGTGTCTCTGGGGAGGGGAGGTGGGGGATATCTCAGGGGGAGACTTAGGGGGTAGAGGTATCTAAGGGAAGGGGATACTGGGAAGGGGGGTTCAAGCGAGAGGGGATAGTAAAGAACGTGAGGAGAAGGCTCAGGAGAGACTGAGACAGGTGTTGACTTCATAATCATGCAAGAGGACTTGAGCAGGATACATAAGCAGCCTAGCACACGGCTTCTTGGAGTTCAACCCTCGACATACTCCGTGTGATGAACATGTAAAGGGGAGACGGAACACCAGACACGTACCAGTCTGCGACGGAGGCAACACATGTGTACAATGTATGTAACCTGTGTTTGCTTAGGTAAGCAAAACACAAACCCCGTCACCAGACGACCCGTCCTCAGACGCATTCAACAATTTTAACATGCTGTTTATTCAAAATATGAATTTTCTCAAATATAAATTAATATTGTTATATATTAGCATGCTGTGCATATTTTGGCATTAGTTAGGTTAGGTGTTTAGGTTCGGTTGGCGATTATTTGTATTAGTAGTACGTGAGTGAAGCATTTACAGCGTTGTGGTTCGAACAAAGGTCAGTGAAGCACTTGTTCGAGAAGTGTTAGGACGTCATCAGTTGTGAGACGTAAAGAGAAAAACCAAAGAAGACATGATCGCTGTGTAAAAAATACTGAACCTAAACTTAAGTAATGTAAATTTAGCCTAAGAGTAGTGAATGTGTGAAAAAAATTATTAAGTAACGAAGACAAATTGCCGCAATAACTTTAACAATAAAAATAAGATTTTGGAAGGGAAGGGAGGTAAGCAATAAACTAGAGTTGGGGGCCCAAGAGCCGAAGCACACACACACACACACACACACACACACACACACATATAACAAAGAGTACCAGGAGCTTCATGTAGTTACATGATGCTCTTTTCATGTAACTAAGGATGTTTACAATATACTTAAGTTAATATTAGGTTTGATGTAATTCTGTGATTCTCTACAGATCACATGACCTGATATAAGCGATGGGAGGGGACCTGTGACATCATGTTCAAGTATGTTTATTGAGACTTAAGAAAAAATACGTCTCAAAGCGATAGAGTAGCTTAGGCTATTTCTAACCCCCCACCTGTGACATCACGACGCGTGAGCTGGTCTGGCCGCCATTGGTCCGAGCAACGTTGCTTAGTCTTACTCCAGGGAAGCGTGGGTACTCGCCCTGAGGACAGGTGACGATGTGACTAGTCGATGACTTGTGTGGTGTGACTGGTCGATGACTTGTGCGGTGTGACTGGTCGATGACTCGGGCGGTGTGACTGGTCGATGACTCGGGCGGTGTGACTGGACGATGACTCGGGCGGTGTGACTGGTCGATGACTCGGGCGATGTGACTGTGGAAGACTCGTTTCTCGGTCATCCCGGAATTCAGCAAAGCATCATGTGGACGTGGAAGTTTTGCGACATATGGTATTCTTCACGCTAAGTATCCCAGTATGTAAATACCTAAGCCTGTGGTCGTATTCATAATTCAGTGGAGATGACTTACCATTTGTTTCAATGAACGTCATTTATATGAGGTTGTTAGTGTGAAATTCATCTTCGTCTTGACAAGAAGAGATATCAGATAGTGGAGCCGGACACCAACTACCCGTAGAAGAGGTGTAAAATAACCTCAAAGGTATAAGAAGCCAACGACGGTAGGAAAGCACCTATGGGATCAGTAGTGAGGGTTGGGAGGTGTCCTCGTCTCCCCACGCAGCCTACTGCGCCACCTCGGAATTTCAGAAAAAAACACAAGTGACTTGGTAGATATCTACTGAACACAGGTAAAAGATTATCGATGTTAATTGACGTAAATATAAATCAAACACTAATATGTATAGACCCAGTTATAGTGTAATATGTACTGAGGTGTCAAGGTTTTTATGTATATTAGGTTTCAAACTAGGCTATGTTTCCGCACAAAGGCAATAGCTGTATTCTCTTCCTGTAATATTTTTCAAAACTCGTTACAGAGTATTTTTGTATTATAGTGTATGTGTGTATTTTCACCGATTTGGTGATGAAATGCGTGAGAATAAAGCAATTATTTCTGCGTAAACTACTTTTTGCGATATCAGTGTTTTCATGAAATTAATTTCATATATGCATGTATTTTTAACTGAGTGAGTAATGATTGACAGTGTGTTGCCATTGTTAATAATGACAATGTGTATTTAGTTGCCAGTATTACAGATTAGTGTCTGGCTGCTATGCCAATTCTCCAATAATGTTAGCCTAGTGAAGCGCATATATGATTATAACTAACTTGCCTTGTTCTAAAGTTATTGTTCTTAGTGGAAACTAAGCTTGTTCTTACATATAGTAAGAACAAGCTTAGATATCATATTTTATGATTTAATGACATGGCACTGTGCTAATAAATGTATATATATATATATATATATATATATATATATATATATATATATATATATATATATATATATATATATATATATATATATATATACCTCATTTCATATTTCTCTGTGGATTTTCCGCTTAATAATATATATATATATATATATATATATATATATATATATATATATATATATATATATATATATATATATATATATATATATATATATATATATATATATATATATATATATATATATATATATATATATATATATATATATATATATATATATATATATATATATATAAACTAACACGAAAAGAGGATTTAACTAAGGCCCGGGATATGGAAAACAATTTTCACGACGCTCTGCTCAGCCCAAAAATACAAAAATAAACAAATGGTGAATTTTTTCAGACACAGAGAATCTAGGTGTTGGATGAGTTGGGCGCAGGTATGTGGAAGAACAAGTGCGTGGGAGACCAGGTGTATGGGACAGTTTAGAGACGGGTGTTTTAACACACAAATGTGTGAAAACTAGAGGCAGATGTGTGGAAGAGAGCCGCCAGTGACAAAGATGGCGGGCGGATGTCATAGTAGGCTACGCGAACTGAGGTCATTAATGCGTTTACAACCCCCCCCCCCTGACAAATGCATTTTGGAATTCTCACGAGAGATTATAAGTACCTTCCGGGCTGAGTGTCGATCTGAATGTTTGTTTAGGTGAGCACCTGTTGTGAGTTATGAGCTTAAAGAGTCCATATTTCTAACTCGCGTGGCGTGTGTCTTGGGGAATTTGTATCTGGGTCAAATTCGGGAATTTGTCTGGAATTTAGGCTGTATCTGACTCAAGTGTCGGGAATTTGGGTTGTGTGTGAGAGTTAGGAACTCGAGTAATTAGCGATTACAAAATAGATTAATTAAACATGGATTATATAACTCAGTTAACGGGAATACAATACCTAGCAATTAGAACTATACATGGTGAAGGATAAAGAATTAAACAATGGATGTATGAATAACAGACGATGTCACCACTAGGCTACGTACTGTATTAGGGAACTTAAACAACCACACAAGAACAGGCAGTGTTTCAGAGAACTTGAACACAAGAACAGCCCATGTAACAGATGACTCTTCACTGAGCTAAGACCTATAGGCCTTGCATAAACAATTATCATGACACATAAACAATTTAGTATAAAATCTGAC